CACTCGTATCAGTTATGGTAACTGCATGCATTGTGATAAATGCTAAATTTTAAGTATCAGAAAAACACATGTTTTCTATTCAAATGTACCACGTTTGACATGAAAAGGCCTAATTGCTTGACTCAGAAAGCACCAAGTTTGTTGAAACATGTACCATCCTTCCATCAGACAGATTATATACTGACCAAAAGCTTTCCTAAACACTAGTATAAACCTGTTTTCAAGCAACCTCTTCCTCAAACCTCAGAGCTGGGGGGGTTGAGGGCAAGATAGAATCTTATCTCCAGATTTGAAATACTGTCTTGTCCAGCACAGCTGCAGAAAAAGGCACTGAATTAGAACACTGTCACAGTATTAAAAATGATATTAGATTTGACATTGAAGGCTTGCACCTGCTAGTCAACCTCAGAACCTCTCCTCTCTGCCTTTCCATTGTGGAAACTACATGATAACTCTCTCTGCAAAAATATCTGGAGAGAAAGATAGCAGTTCATCAATTTCCTTTATCACCTTAAGTCAGAAAAGTTCCATTTGCTCTCTTCTGCTTAAGCATTTAAATCATCTTTCGCAACATCTCATGGACTTACGAACTTGTACCGAATCTCTCACACATGCACTGTCCCCAGCTGTAAGCACAAATACCCTATCTACAAAATAATTTACTCCTAAGAACAGTTCGTGCAAACTAAGAACAAGTGATTTGGACTGGTATTCAAAGAGATCTTGCAGTAACATTTTAAACAAAATTACTCAGAATTTCATCTACACTTTATGCACATACACACTCAAAAGTAGCACAGCAGCCACAGTCTCTCTTCCTGTAAGCTCCAAGTGAATACATTGCTCTACCATCAACTATTAGTGGCACTTAGTTCCTTGCAATACTGTTTCCACACACAAGAGTTTGGCAAGCACTACCACCCTACAGCAGAAAGCAGTTAACTTTTTTACTGTAGCTGCTGCAAGATATACTTAATAACACAAACACAAAAGCCTTATAGTTACTTACAAACTTTGACATGTTCAAGATTCTTACATTCATCAAAGTAATAGGGTAATACAGGGTACAGCGCCCCAGTGATGGGAGAGATGTGGGTTCATGTTCCCTCCAAATGCCTCTGTTTCAGCTAAGGAAGGCTGCTGTATAACACAGCAGATCCTGCTGGAAAAAGAAGTATTTCAAAGAAGCCAAACCACCAGGCTGCCCAGAGAAGGGAGCTGACAAGCAGGAAGCAGAATAGGTATGAAGGAGTGAGTTAAAAACATCCAGCACCTTTAAGAAAACTAATACGGGGGGGAGGGGGGGAAGAAAAAAAAAGATTGTTTTCCCTGTTGGTGAACAAAGGGAAGGTGAAACTCTTGAGTGAGGGACACACAGAAGCAAAACACAGGCACACATTATATGCAAGGCACAAACCGATTTCATTAGAAAGAAACCTCATCAGCCATTAAATACTTTCAAAGCAGGAAAGCACATTTTTTGGTCTTGTCCTGGGAGATTAATTCAGTGATGCAAGATAACATAAGTTTGCAGAACAGCTACAAAAATCCAATTTAAAATCCAATTTACAAGTCTTTCCCACTTCCCTTTTGTTAAAAAGGGAGCAAAACCCAAACAACCCTTCCATTAAGACACGCTTACAAAGGGAAGTCACATTGTGTCAGACTGCTACTGACATAAACACAATCAGCTGAAAAAGCCTGGGCCTTAATTCAGTATAAAATGGGATCCACACTGCTTAGCAGAAAAGCTGTACCTCTTCAGTAAACTATTAATCAGATACATTTTGATACCAGAGATGACTTCTAGGAACTCACTAATTAGGCATTGCCCTAACACATAACAAGATCATTCTTCTAATTTGTTACAAGCCAATAAGCGCCAAAACTACCTCCAATATCCAAACAAGGATTAAAAAAAGATTTTCTCTACTCAACTAAGTTACATAAATCAAGGCCAAGAGGAACAGATCAGTGCAGAAAGGGTCAATTTTTCACCCCTTACCCCAAAGTGACCGATACTGTTTTACCTGCAAAAGGCTGCTGTACTTGGAGTGGATCCTGAAGAACAGGTAACACAAGTACTGTTCTCCAACTTAAGGACACCAAGAATTATTTTCACCCACCCACAAGGCTATTTAAACTACTTGGCTTTAGACTGAGACACACCAAAAGGCCTATAAGATCCATTCTTCTGGACTCTGCTCTGGTGATGGCAACCTCCCTCCACAGGATGGTACTAGATGATGGAGGACAGATAACACGAAGACCCTAGTAGTCACTTTGATGCTGCCTCATTAGTCACGTCACCTTCAGCCACATTTTCACAGTCACAGCATCCAGTCACACTACTGTCTGAAGGGGTTTGTCCCCCGCCTTCCCCCCTTGGAAAACACTCTACTTCCTACTTCAGCCATGCCAACACAACTGCATTACAGTGCTGTCCTGATTAAAGTTCTTTGATGTGTTTGCAGATGAAGGAAAGGGCATTACACTTAGCCCTGATCAATTTACTGACTGGTTAGTTTCACAGCAAACTTAAATTCGAGGGCAAAGCCAGAGAATCAATGCTTCTCATCATCCAATGTCATGAAGCCATCTCACATCATGAAGTCCAGACCCTCATAATTTGGAAGCCCACTGTCATTCTATAATTTAAGACAAATGGCTTCAAGAGTCAGTAATAAGGGAGTACAAGTCAGCAGAAGTTAGATCACAAAAAAAAGGGACAGCTGTATTTACATCCTCTCTTGCATATAAAAATTCAGACCACTCCCACCACAGTGAAAAATCTTGCATACAATATTTCTAGCCAACTTCAAGGACGCATAATCTGGCTTGCCATAGAGCAAGCAGGCCAAATTCTTTACTTTCAACTAGATAACTTCCACCTCTGTCACGAGAGCTATAGCCTTATCAGCTACAGAACTTCCACAACCCAAATGCTACCATTATTGCAAATGTATACCCTGTTGACCATTTCAGCAGATTTACTTACTCTGAACCCTCAGGATCAGCTTGGTCCATCAATACTTTTCTTATAACCAGTCTTACGTACCAAGAACAACCCATTGGCTTCCTTCACCTGCTGTGGCACTCAGTGAGAAGACTACAGCTATTAGAACATCCTGTGTAAAATTCCAGTATTTCCTTAAAAAACAAATTCTAAATTCTACTTACTACTATGTTTACCAAGACGAGAGTGGGCTACATCCCTTTTTTAATTCCTTTCCCACCATTTGTTGACCACTCTGTCAAAACCCCATGTGCTAAAATGGCAAAGGCTGACAAGTTCTTATACAGCTCTTTAAGTACTGCCAGCACTAATCACTTTCTGCAGGTTAGTAATGGCTGGCTGTTTACTTACGGTTCTGGAAACATGCTGAAAAAACCTACAACTTTTTCCAGCCCTTTCCCATACAAACAAACGCCCTAGAAATTGTCTAGCTTCTTGTTGCTACTACCTCAAAGCCACAGCAGCAGCAATTCCAGACAAAGCATGGACACTAGTAAGAGGCAGATGGAAAGAAGTTTTCAAAATACACATAAAACTTTTGCATTCTAAAACCTATTCATTATACAGACTGCATACACATACTGAAATAACGTGAACAAATACTTAAATTCCAAGGGGGAATGAAGAAACCAAGACAGAACTATTTCTGTATTCTGAACTCCAACCAAATGCTGCCGGTTTATCTGGCCTTCACAAAACTAAAAGGAGTGCACATTTACCAATCCTACTCCCACTCAAGGAGTAAATCTCCAAAAGGGATGTCTCCATCTGTCCAGTGATATCATCAAGCAGACTATGGCAAGAAAGCTTTGATATGCATGCACTGTGCAAACAGGTTGAAAAGAACCCCCCGAATTCTCAAAATATTTCCCCAATAACTGAGAAATGATTAGAAAATTGATTTGGTACCTCAAATGATCTCTAATTCAAAGATACAAAAATCAGAAAGGTACTGGAATGCCTTGTGAGACCACTTACAGAAGATAAAAAAATCCTTAAGAGGACAAGGGGTAATTCACAAAAGGAGAGTTAGCAAAGAATTTGTCAGTAAATACAGCAGGGGTGAACTTTTGAGGCAAGACATGCTTTTTATGGATTTGCTAAGACTGCCCATAATTCAAAAGATTAAAGAAATATTAAGACCCACAGCCAATGTGATCACTTCCAATGCAAGAATGGTTTGTCCACATACAACACTGAAGAAAATTGAGGATTTCATGAAAACACACCTTACACTGGTCCAGCTTAGATTAGGGATTGTTTACAAGTCCACAGAGCATTCAAAGGCTGAAGAAACGTTTAATCTCCCAGCAAATATGCACAGGACCTTGAGCCAAACACAGATGTAGTCCACGTTTATTTTGATTAGCAGGCACAGGATTACACAGACCAAGATGGATATGACCCAAAGACCTACAGAAGTGCCTGCAGTTGCCAGCAGTCGAAAACAAAGCATTCAGGAAACATGTTTTATAAGGACACCTTGAAGAATACAAAAAAGATGAAGCAAATCTGGTCTCACAGTACATGGCTGTGCATCACAACATGTTCAAAACGGAAATCTGGTCACATTACACCGTGATGTATGAAGGCACCGGGCACGGCAATGACCCACACAAACCTTCGCAAGGAGTAAATCCTGAAGGGAACCTTAGCCAATCCCCATGGGAACCTCAGCGCATTCCACTTAGCCGCACACCTGAACAATGCCCTCCCCCCACCATCCTCACAGAGCCCTTCGAGGCACCATCCGCCACCCCCGCCAGGGAGGCCGGTCCCCCGGCACGGCGCGCACCGGGGTCCCGCACCAAGCGGGGCGGCGGCGAGAGCGGAGCAGGACCCGGCAGCCCGGGAAGGCCACCCCTCTCCCCACAGTCGGTGGGTACCCGCCGCCACCCCGAGGGAGCCGCGGGGGGAAACGGTGCGAACGCGGCTGCGCCCCACCGTGCCATCCGCAGGACCTCGGCCGCGCCGCCGCCCTTACCGGCGAGTCCCCCTCCGCCGCCATCGCCACCGTGCCCCTTCCTCCGCTGGAGGATGAAGTAGGGGTTGGCCCGCTCTGTCACCCACAGGGCGTTCGCCAGCAGCACCTCCTCGGGGTTCACCCACATGCTCCCGGCGCAGACAAAGCCCGGCCCGCCCGGCCACCCGCCTGCGGGGCGCGGTGACTCACGCACGCACGGTCAGCATCAGACTCCACCATGCCCAACCGCCGCGGCACCAGCGGGCGCAGGGCTGAGGGGCGGCAGCCGCATTAGCCCCCGGCGCTCCCGCCGCCGGGCGCGGAGGGGCGGCGGCGGCAGGAGGCAGGGGCAGCACGGACATGGGCGGTCGGCCCAGCCCCGCAATCGCCTCCCCTCACAAAACCGGTGGCCAGAGTAGAAACGAGTGGGGAGAGGCCGCGCGCTCCACGCTCCCCGCACCTGCGCGCGCGGTGGGGCGGGGCCAGGGAGGGAGGCGGAGCTTTGGCGCAGCTTCGGCGCGCGCACCGGCCTGGCTGCTCCCTCAGGGCGGCCCTTGGAGGGACTGGTGTGGGGAGTGGGTGCAGGGGCATGGACGCTAGCACTGCTGTCGCCGTCCCTTCCTCTCACATCCCGGCGTGCCTCCTCAGCAGCCGCCGCTGGCCTGTGGGCCCGTGCCTGGCGTTCACCTGCAGGGTCCCTGGGGAGGAGATGGCTACCACCCTTTCATAACTGCCTGCACTGAAAGATGCAGCCTTTTCACTGTGTGGCAAGGAGTTCGTGAAGTTGGGTGTTGAAGGGAAGAGGGGACTCTGGCCTCCACTTCGGAGGAAGCCATCCATTCCCAGGAGATGATTGGGCTGCCCTCTTGCCACAGCCAACCCTGGTGGAATGTTCTCTGCTCGGCACCATTTATGAAGTTTCCTGCTGAAGACCACACACTATGCTTGCTCATATGACTGGGGAGACGTTTGAGGGCCTGAAAAGCTCTAAAGTAAACAACTGTATTTGGCTTGGCAGATATGCCAAGCACATTCAGAGGGTATAGTAGTATATATAGAATCACAGAATAGTTTGGGTTGGAAGGGACTTTAAAGATCATCTAGTTCCAACCCCCTGCCATGGGCATGGACACCTTCCACTAGACTCACTGGCCTCCCTTTCGTCAGAAAACTGTTACTATCTCATCAAATATTTATCTTTGGTTTATTACAGGTATAGAGAAGAGCAAATTAAACCACAAAGGTAGTATTAAAAGCATGTTCCAAGTGCAAACTTTCCCTATTGAGGCTGTAGCTTTTTAGTGGACTTTAGCCGTTCATTTGCTGGTGCTGGGGTGGAGCTGGTACCCAGTGCTCATCATGTGGATATGGACACATGGTCAGGGGAGAAATGACTCTTGTCTGAGGTAGCAGTCATGTGGCTGTTACTGTATAGGTAAAAAGTTCAGCAGAGGGAAGTGAGTGTCTCTGATGAGCACTTAGAAACTGACAGTGCTGCGCTCCATCCCTATGGGGAATGGTCATCATCAGGTGACCATGGTCTGAATGGGAATGCAGAACAACTTCTTCACCCTTTCTGAATTTATCAGAGTCAGGTTATAGTGAATTCTAGTACTGTTGAAATGAGCCTATCCTTCTAACTGCAAAGGGTTTTTTAAGGGCAGTGTTTTTAAAGAAAATGTCTGGACAAGCAAGTTTCTTACATCTTTGAGAAGAAATTTCAGGATTTTATCTTTAATTACTATTTTTTTGAATTTTAAACCAATTCTAGTTAAAACTTCTATGCCAAGTAGCTTAAATGTTAACTTGTAGCCTGGCTAAAAGTAGTGGCAAAAATTCCTAGTAACTTGCTTTGGTAGAGGCAGGGATGTCACAGACACAAGACTCTTGTGCTGTTCCAGCAGTACTGATGTCATTACATACTAGTGATGTCATCACTGCCACCAACCTGCAGTAAGACTACTAAAGCCACATGGATGTTTTTTGAAGGAGCAGCCAAATGATACCCTGCTGCAGTGAGAGCTGGTGTGAAATTAATTTTCTTTGTGAACAGTGCAGCTGACCTCAAGAAGTAAAAGAGCATCATCAGAGGCTGGGAGCTTTTTCTGCTTCCCATTCCTAACTTGCTTTTCAACAGCAGGCACAGACAGTTATGCATTGAAAACTGTAAGCACTGAAAACAGCTGGCAGGCCTTATTAGTGCCAATTAGTTTTAGATGCAACAAGAGTGACATATTACTGGCATAAAGAACAGCAAAAGCATAATTTCTAACATCCTTCCTATTTATTTTCCATTAAGCATTCTAGAACATTTGAATCAAACTGCAAAGAAAGAAAATCTCATCACTCAAGTAAATGGCATTTCAAATAAGGTTATATTGTGTCTTTTTGCTGCTGTGTTGTAGATTGTATCAAGGCATTTTTTTCAATGGAAGCCTGATCTGCTTTCACAGTAATAAAAAATAGGCAGTGTGGAAAATGGCTGACATTTGTACTGAAGGCAATGCAGACATTCTCATGCATGCCCATTGTGCGTTTTTATCCCTCAAGTAAAATGCTCATCTAGGTGCGTTTTTTGTTCTGTTTTGTTTTGTTTTGTTTTGTTTTTTTCCTGATCTTAATGCTCCATTATAAAGTTTCAGTTTCTTTTTCCATCATGTAGTTTGGGAATAAAATACAGAACTTCTGGTCAGTCCTGTGTACTATAGTAAGAATTAAAAAGAGAATATTAAATGAAAATGAAGGAATAATTGCCTCTGCTTGTTTTGCAATATTTTGTTGGAAAAAACCTGTGTAAGGTTGGGATCTTAATGTAGCTTTAACTTTGAATAGGGCTGTTTAAAGATTTCTATTGTATTAGGTTTGAAATGTCAACATATGCGATTCAGTTTTGAAAAATGGGTTAAGGCAATCAGGAGCTGATCTCAATATAAACTAAGGAGTTATTTCATAATGCTACAGTATAAACCTCTCAGGGAAGAAAACAAACATGATTCTAGAAGGACAACCATTCTGTGCAACATCATCAGACTAATGGACAATAACAGTACTCAAGCAGAAAAAGATTAAATAAGCAGACACTTTACCATTTATTCCCAAGAAGACCTTCTTTTACAATTGACTTCTTTTTTAGATGAAGCCAACTAGCATTTGCTAGTGGTTCAGGACAGCCATTCTGCTGATTAGGAGCAAAGATAAAATATCGGGATATCAAAAATTACCTTTGAGAAATGCACACATTGCTCAGGTTGGAACAATAGCCATGTAGCTCCTACCTGAGGACATACCTTAGCATGGAGAAGCACCTGAAAGTTGTACATGGAGAGGTGGGCATTTAGATTTTTGTGAGAAGTGTTTTATTTTATAAATAGTACTAAATCTTTAAAAGACTACAGAACATTGCTCTAGGTGTGATGTGGGATGAAACAAAGTGAAGGAAAAAAGCATCCAAGATTTCTTACTGTGTGGTCAACTCAACTGACACAAACCTTAATGTTTGTATGCCCATAGCACACCATATAGAAGAAATTCAAAGCATTCAAAAATAATACCACTTCTATCATGCAAGTGCGTATTATGAGCACTTTTACATGTGAGCAAACTGAATCATATAAAGTAATTCTTGCTTTGGGTCATCCAGCCAGTCGAAGAGCAAAGGGAGTTAAATCACAGCATCCGCTATCTGCAGTTCCCCACTTCCAGCTGTGATCAGTGTCCTTCAAAAGCAGGACACTCTCAGGCCCTTTGTCATCCCAGAATGATTTTATACTCCTTGGGTCTAATCTCAAAAGCTATTTCTAAATTGATCACATAAGTGAGTATCATTTATGTCAAGTGCTTGTTGGGAGATGTACATTTTGCATGAATTGTGGTATTAAGCACGTCATGTCTTTTCTCCAAATTAGAGCACGATTTGCCTGATAGGAAGCAGTTAATTTCTGTAGCATTGAGGCAGCTGTTCAGTACCAGGCTATGAGAAATATCATTTACTACCCTGGGAGGACAATGTCAAAATGTCTCCCAAGGGAATCTGGAATCAAAATTTTTCAAGGTCAAGGAATCAGAGAGAATCCTAAACAAGCCCCCTGGAGTTTGCAACAAGAGGTGGGGACACGTTTACCAGTGTGAAAGCAGTTTTGAGAGGACAAAGTGTGCCCTAACTGCTAGAGAAGCATCTGTACCTCATTAAAAGGATGCTGAGAGAAGATTTTTTCGATTCGCTGCTTTGCAGAAGAACAAACCTCACTTTTTTTTTCTTTTTTTACCATTTTCCTTTCTGTCACCTTGCTTGCATGTTTTATGTGTGGTAAATGAAAACATTTCTTGGCTTCTGCATTAATTTAGCTCAGTTGAAAGGTGATTTCAAATTAAAAAGCTTGCAGCAGGGTGTTCTGTTCCTATTGCTGTGGCTATTCTCAGAAGGGAAATCTCTGGCATTTCTTCTGGGTACCTACAGAGCAGCAGGATTGATCTTCCCTAAGCTCTAGTGCTCATTTTGGAGCTCAACATGCAGAGGTGGAAGAGCAGGATTTGAATGGACTCAGGCATGCAGCCTGAGCTGCATGGCAGGGAGAGCACCTGACCCTCTCTGACAGGAGCCTTCAACAATGACTCTAATTTACCCATCTTCAACAAGAGGCTTTTACTAAAGCTACCTACATCCCAGGAGGTCTGCTACAGCTGAATTCTTTTATGTTGCATATCCAACAGGAAACATTAACTTTGAAGATAATATCCAGTTGTCTGTTTCTCTTCCTAGAACATTTTCTTTGCCTGGGAAGACTGACAAATTCAGGACAAACTATTGCAAGCTTTCAAGGATGTTAAAACTTTTTCATATTCTCAGAATATTTTCATATTCTGCAATGCAATTTTTGCACTTACCTGCAATTATGACAGATCTTCTTGAATATGCCACTTAATACTTTTCCTCCCATTGCGAATGACAGCTGTTTTAGGCCAGTCTTTTGTGAAGTTCTGCCAGTCTCCCATGGCAAAGTGGTAACTTAGAATCATAAATTAGTTAGGGTTGGAAAGGACCTTAAGATCCTCTAGTTCCAACCTCTCTGCCATGGGCAGGGATACCTCACACTAAACCATGTCACCCAAGGCTCTGTCCAACCTGAACTTGATGCAGGTTGATAAAAAGCAGTTCCCTACTTTCCATCAAGACATATTTAACTACCCTCAGGTATCATAACAACTGCTTTTCTCTTTATAAAACAGTATTTGGTGTACCAGGCTTCCCACAGGCAAGGCAGCTGCTTGCCCACAGCCCACACATCCATCTGTGGCCTACCTTGCTTCATGAGATGTGTCAGATAAGATTCACAGT